CCAGGTAATTAACATACAGTGTCAAATTAGTTTCAGGTGTACAATACAGTGATTCTACAATTCCATACACCACCCAGTGCTCATCTCGGCAAGACTCCTTAATCTCCATCATCTCTTTAACCTGACTCCCCACCCACCTCCCCTTTGGTAACCATCAGTTTGTTCTCTATAATTAAGAGTCTGTTTCCTGATTTGTCTCTTTTTTCCTCTTTGTTCATTTGTTTCTTAAATTCCCCATATGAGTGAAATCATACAGTATTTGTCTTTCTCTGCTGACCTATTTTGCTTAGCATTATACTCTCTAGCTCCATTCAGGTTGTTGCAAATGGCAAGACCTCATTGTTTTTTAAGACTGAACAATATCCCATTGTGTGTATGTGTGTGTGTTTGTGTGTGTGTACTTGAGCTGCTTCCATAATTTAGCTCTTATAAATAATGCTTTTATAAAGGTTGGAGTGTATGTATCTTTGAATTAGTGTTCTTTTATTCTTTGGGTAAATACCTAGTAGTGTGATTGCTGGACCATAGGGTAGTTCTATTTTTATAATTTTAATATTAATTTACTTTTAGGGATACCTGGCTGGTTCATTCGATTAAGCGTCCCACTCTTGATTTCGGCTCAGGTCATGACCTCAGCCAGGGTGGTGGGACTGAGCTCCAAGCATCCAGCTCTGTGCTGAGTATGGAGCCTGCTTAGGATTCTCCCTCTCCCTCTTTGTCCCTCACCCCTCCCTCCCTCTCTCTCTCAAATAAAACAATACACAAAATATAATTTACTGTTAAAATTAGGTAATATATATTCACAAGTGTGAAGGTCAAAAGGACTTTCATGAAACATAAGAAAACAATCCATAGATCTAGGTTTTCTTTTTCTTCAATTGAATTTTATGTTAACACTTTTCCCTAAAATAGTGACACCTACCTTAAAAATATTTCAAAGATTTTGGTGCCAATGTTTTCCATATTCCACACTAGTTTTCTGTGGCTTTCTGTGGCTTTATGACAAATTGCAAAATTGACATATTGTGGGGTGCCTGGATGGCTCAGTCGGTTGGAAGTCCAACTTTGGTTCAGGTCATGATCTCATAGCTCATGGGTTCGAACTTCACGTTGGGCTCTGTCCTGACAACTCAGAGCCTGGAGCCTGCTTTGGATTCTGTGTCTCCCTCTGTCTTTGCTCCTCCCCAGCTCACACACACACACACACACACACACACACACACGCACTCTCTCTCTCTCTCTCTCTCTCTCTCTCTCTCTCAAAAATAAATAAACATTAAAAAAAATTTTTAATTGACATATTGTGTAAATTGAGGAAAAAGAAGGTGGGGGGAGACTAACAAAAATGTATCATACACCATGGAATAATTGTTTTTCTGTGTTCTCACATAATCATCATAACACATAGCTATTTTTCACATCTTTGAGAAAACAAAGGCTCAGAGAGTTAAAAGAATTTGTCAAAGTGGGAAACAGTTATCTTGCGGTAAAGTTGAATGTTCCAGCTAAGGGCTGTGTATTTCAAAGCCCAAGCACTACCGCCCAATTTCTCCCAGGGTAGGTTTTTGTTTTTGTTTTGTTTTTTAAATAAATGCAGTGCTTCTGGCAAGACCATAGGGCAGGGGGAAACATGTTCTCTCACTTGTCTCAAAACGGTGTGTCTGCATCTTCAGTGTGGAAATGCCAGTGAGTAAAAGCTTCCAGACTACCTGCCGTGCACATAAAACTTCTGTAGGGGAGTGTATAACCTGCAAACATGCCCACAGGATCCACAGGCGGCTCTCCTGCCTGCAGGAGACATTGGTGAATAATAGAGATACACCCAGAGGTTTATGTACATGCGCATTCATCGTGGTGTCGTTTATAATAGCTACCAGTGGAGAACAATCCAAATGTCCCAGTGGGGGAATGATTAAATAAATTAGGGACATTCATATAATGAAATCTTACTGCCATTAAAAATCATAGTTTCCAAGACAATTGCATTTAATGCATAATCCTTTATTATTCCTGGATACTGGAACAGCTATAACGAACACTATGAGGCTAATTAGGAAACTTTTAATATGGACTACTTACCAAATAATATTGTTTATTAAATGTTTATATGATAGATGTAATTTAACAAAATATGCTAATTCTTAGAAAATACATGCTTATATATTTAGGGATGAAAAAGTCTTATTCTTAAGAAATATAAGAAAGAAGCTCACAATAGAATATTAAGATAATTAATTTTCATGTTGCTTAAAATATATATGCATAGAAAAAAAACAAAGACTAGAAAGACACACACCATAATATAAGCATTGGTAATCTCTGTATAGTGAGATCCTATGCAATTTTTAAAATTTTAGCCTTTGTACATTTTATCATTCTGCAGTTTTCCTACCGGGGCCTACTATTATTCTGTTCCCACACCTTTAAGGTATATGCACAGGGAGAAATTCAAGAGTAGAGAAAGGTTGATTGGGCACATCACTGACTTAAGTCAGTAAGAGGGCCTAGTAAAACAATCCAAAGTAAAATAAGGTGCCCAAGTAGGTACTGGGAGCATAATAGGTCAAAGTTACATTGTTGGGGGGAGGGGTAATTAGGGCAGGAGGGTATATAAAGACCTCATCTGAAGAGCTAAAGGAGTTTTACTGGTAAATTAGATCTCAGGGCAAAAGATGTATAATATTTTATTTTTAAGGTACTCTAGGACAAGTCAAGACAATTTTTTAAAAATGAATAAATCAAATTGCAACCTTGTATGGAAGATCACTCTTGATGTCCTCTGCCCTCACAACTCGACATACCCCTTCTCCTCTAGCTCATGTCTAGAGAGGGAAATGGCCATGTTTCCGGATTCCATTTTGGCAATGTGCACGACAAGAGGCTACTTGTGACTTGCTAGCCCCCTGGGGAAATTTTCCACTCAAGAAGGGTAGAAGAAAGAGATCTGGGAAGGAGAGAAGGAGTCAATAGAAGAGACAACAGGGTAGCTTGAGTATCGGTCCCATGTGGGACACCATTCACATTTAAGAAAATGTCTGACAGATGTTCAAAGGCTGAGGCACAGAAGAGACCAGACCCTGATCTCATACAAGGGGATGAGGTTGTGCACCTCTCAATTGCTCATTCTGCCCACTCTCCCTCCCAATCCCATCACCACATCTGTTTGGTGTGGAGTTTATATCCAGAAGCCTTGGGTGAAAATGCTTTTGCAACTTTTTCATGGTTGTTTATGCAAAGTCAGCAGAGTAAGAATAGTATAGATTCAATCTTCCCCACACAGGCGATCAGTGGCAGGCCCAGGGCAGACAATGATCCACATGGGATGACTTTGCCAGAGGAGAAAAAGTAGGCTGTTTTCCTTGATAATACCAGCCCCTTTGGGACAAAGGGAAAGAAAAGGAGCTATTACCTTACACCACAATTTAATGTAATGCGTACTAAGTTAAAATATACGACCTTTATATTCATTTATAAAAAATCAATGTGGGGTTTTTTTTGTAATTGAGAAAGCTGTAGACCAAATATATTTGGTGTTTGCTATTCATAATTTGTTCCTTAGCTTTTTGAGGTGATAAATCAAGAAATAAAATTTAATAAAATAAAAAATGGGGAACAGAACAAATTGTTCAAAGAGAGTGTGATTGGTTCTCCATCACTAGAGTTCTTGGACTCTAAGTGTATGTGGTGTCAGGGTGAAAATGCAAAGAGCGAACACAGAGAACAGAAGAGGGCACGATTCGGGACCCAAAGTCTAGTTCAGATCTGCTCCGATGCCTGTGAGGGCACAAGATAAAAATGCATAGGTTTGAAAGAGAAGGCAGATCTAGATGAGTGAGAAAGGTGGATACCAACCTTACAGTAAACCCAGTTACCTATCCTCTCTCCCTACTTAGCTCCCTCCCTCTGGTTGTCTATGCTAATTAACAGATTCAATTATCAATTTTTCGCCCAACTGAGTCTCTAATTTAAAGACAAAAATCTGTGTTAAGCATGTTCCTTAATAATCATGCAGTTGTGTAAGGGTTAAATCCTATCAGTTTTCTTGTCTGCGATTGAAAACATGGGCAGTGACTTCTGTGAGTGGGAAGAGGCAGGAAGGGGTACCCTCTGTGATTGGTGCCATTCTGCAATGCAAGCAAGGAAGGATTCAAACAAACAAAAAACCTGCAGGGACAGAGCAGGGACAAAAAACCTGCAGGGACAAAGAATGGGCAGCCAAGAGAAGGTCGGTTCACAGAACTTTCTCCCAAATCCTCACGTGTTGGGATGGAATAAGTAAACTTGATTTCACCTTCCAGTGATTAAAGCCTTTTGCTTATAGCAAGTAGCAAAAACACGTAAAATAACCTTATAAAAAATTCAGTAAAGTCATTTGGCACCTATAGCATTGATACATTTATTGAATAGAGACTTTGTTCTGTGATCTTTAAACATATTCACAGAAGGTTCCAGCCTCTTGTGGTTGTGGTAAACATGAAGGATAATGATGATATTGACACCTAAATTTGCAGTATTCTGAACATATAAGCCTTCCCGAGTACAGATACTCCAGGCCCCATGGAATGGAAAGAAAAGCAACTTTTCAGTGGAGGCTGAGTCATGAGTCCCTCTCACCAACCCTGGAAAGGAGAACCCATGCACTTGCTCCCACCCAGAGGAGTCAGTCTTGTCCCAGCATGCAGAGCTCTGCACATAGAACAAAGACATTCAAACAGCAGAGTTATTAGGGTGCCTGGGTGGCTCAGTGAGTTAAGTGTCCAACTTTGGCTCAGGTCATGATCTCACTGTCTATGAGTTCGAGCCCCCCACCAGTCTCTGTGCTGACAGCTCAGAGCCTGGAGCCTGCTTCCAATTCTGTGTCTCCCTCTCTCTCGGCCTCTCCCCCACTCATGCTCTGTCTTTTGCTCTTTCTCTCTCTCTCTCTCAAAAATAAACATTAAAAATATTAAAAAATATAAAAAATAGAGTTCTTTAGAGTCAAATAAATAAATACACTCAAAAACATGACATACATTTATAAAACTGGCCTATGACAATGGGATCAGGGATAATAGGGGCTAATTCTTTCTCTACATTTTCAGTGACCACCATGTATGCGGGACAGTCTAGATAATGAATTTGGTCAAAGACAGGATTTGATCAGCCTTCTATGGTGTTGAAAGTTGATTGTCCAACTTGGTCGTTGATTGTGGCTCAAGTTAACAGAAAGCCTTTTCAGGGGCTTTCCTTTAAGATCACCCAATATTGATAGTGTCAATGCATAAATCATCTTAATTAATAATCATCTGTTGGTCTTAGACCTCATCCTTGGTGAAGGCTCGGGGGCATGTCCCTCAGACATAACTGTTCAGTGAGCAGATGGTAAGAGGGCCCGTGTTCGTCCCTTCATTTGGGAGGCAAGGGGAGAAGATCGGCCTGAGAGCCTCTTGGAAAGAGGCTGGAGGGAAGCTGTAGATGAGGGACTCATCTGTCACGTTGTAGAACGCTACGTGTCCACACTCGTAGTCTAAGAAAACGCCAACCTTATGCACAGGCTCTCGGACGTGTTGACCTTTTAAAGGTGATGAGACCCAAAGACTATAATCTTCTCCAATTTTTAAGCCTATAAGTGAGAAGAGGTCCCCAGGTGGCTTCGGGAGATTGCCCTTTCGGCTCATGGAGTCCTTGCAAATGCCCACTTCCCACTCGGTCTTGTTGCCCACCTCCACCTCCCAGTAGTGTCTCCCACAGGTGAATATCTGAGTGCCCAGCACAGTTGCAGACTGGTCAAATCGTTCTGGGTTGTCGGGTAAGTGCTGTCGGATTCCTCCATGTCTCACGCTTTTCAGATCCTCAGACAAGACAAGATAGGCATTGGCTGTAGCTGGATCCAGAGTTATGTCCGCTGCAAGAGGAGAAAAGAATGAACCCCTCGCATTCTTGAAAACCCTTTTACATATGTGGAATTTTAATTAAATTCTTAGTTTCCAGTCCTATTTTTAAAAATATGATCTAGGTGGGGCGCCTGGGTGGCGCAGTCGGTTAAGCGTCCGACTTCAGCCAGGTCACGATCTCGCGGTCCGTGAGTTCGAGCCCCGCGTCAGGCTCTGGGCTGATGGCCCAGAGCCTGGAGCCTGTTTCTGATTCTGTGTCTCCCTCTCTCTCTGCCCCTCCCCCGTTCATGCTCTGTCTCTCTCTGTCCCAAAAATAAATAAACGTTGAAAAAAAAAAAAAAATATGATCTAGGTGAGTGTGGTGAGGAGTTTTGTTTCACTGAGAACAGAATCTCTGAGCCCTTCTCTCACTGTTTCACAAACACTGAGAGCAAATCTCTGAAAAGAAACAGAAGAGAGTCATGTGGACAGTGATATTTAGCCTGCCTGAGAGGAGAGAGAGAGAGGAATCGCTGATATAATGGAATGGAATAGAATAGCAGGTTTCTGTTTACAGCATAGCTTTAAAACTCAGAGCTATTTATCCACACGGGGCATACTCTGTCATTTGTATTCAGTTGAGCCAAGGCTCCTTCTGATTCTTCAGTTTGGGTGGGAGAGAAATAGAGGCAGCCATCCTTTCTGGACTTCTCCTTAGGTGCCAACCATTTTCTGTACAATATCTCATTTAATCATGGCATTTCCCCCCATTGTATTTATTTATTTATTTAATGTTTATTTTTGAGAAAGAGAGACAGAGTATGAGCGGAGGAGGAGCAGAAGAGAGAGGGAGACACAGAATCCGAAGCAGGTTCCAGGCTCTGAGCTGTCAGCACAGAGCCCGACGCGGGCCTTGACCCAGGGCTCGAACTCACAAACTGCAAGATCATGACCTGAGCCAAAGTCAGTCGCTTGACCAACTGAGCTACCCACGTGTCCCTTCCCAGTTTTACAAAAGTGGAAACTGAGGTTCACGGAGGTTTGGAAACTAGTCCAAGATTACAAAGTTACTGAGTGTTGAAATAGCAATTCCAAGTCAGCGTTTTTCATTATGTCATATGCTGAGATGCAGCCTCCTGTGAGACTAGTGAAACCACCTGTGACCAGTTGATAAGTACACTGTGAACCAGTGAGAGACCCCTCCTTCCCATCTTCTGAGAGGAGGTCACGGAAGAGGCTTCCAGCTTTCAATGGCCTCTCAGACAAAATTAGGTGCCCCTACCATGTAATTTCATACTTTTATTTATAGATCAAATTCTAATCATCACTAATTATTTGAGATTAATGTCTGTCTCCTCAGTTCCACTGAAAGTTCTGTAAAAGCAAAGGCAGGCCTGTCTTATTTATCACTATAAGAAAGCTGAGAGTTTAATAGCATAGTACCAGGTACATGGTTGGCACTTATCAAGTATCTACTGAATCCAAAGCCCGTTAGACTTTCCTCTGAAGGTCAGATTGTCAACAAGATAAAAGTTAAAAATGAAGGCTGAATTCTCTTCACGATAGCTAGCCTAAATATCTAGAGCATTCTAAAAGGATAGCTTGAATGTTGCCTCATTGAGATTAAGAATTTAAGTAGTTTTTACCCTCACAAGAACAGAGGTAGAAATGCAGAAACCCCTGAGGAGGGGTGTGTGTGTGTGTGTGTGTGTGTGCGCGCGCGCGCGCGAGTGTGCGTGTGCGCACTCAAGGGGATGAAATAGACAAAATGGGACAGTAAAAACAAACAAAGGAAGTGCCAGGAATCCTTAGAAAACACAGGTAAGCGAACCCTCAATCAAGTGTGCTTCTGTCGGCTCCAGAACCCAGACGGTCTGTGGCCTCAGCCCACCCTGAGGGTTCGCACAGACTCACGGCGCCTTCACTAGAAGCCTGGCACCCAGATGGTGAGTATTTTGTCAGAGGAAGCTGCCGAAAAGCTCAATCTTGCATACCCTCGTACACACTGAAGTTCAGTCTGCAAATCCCTGGAGGTTTGACAAACGAGGCTGACTTACTGCTGAATTTTTTTAGCATCTCCCTCATTCCAGTGATGCGGCACAGACTCAGTTCCGTGGCGGCCGCCTCTGGACACTGGAGCAAGAGTGGCTCACTCCTGCAAGAGGGCAGAGACAGTCACTCTGTCTGTCCTGCGCAGCCCGCAGGACCTGTTGCAAGCTGAGGGTCCAGCTTGATGTTCCCCAACAGCATGGACACTCTCCTCCCCACCCTGACAAATGTAGCAGCAGCACACCCCTGTGTCTCACATAACTGAACACAGACTGGAAACCCACCTTTCCAGTGTTCCTTTCACATCCTAAGGGGAGAAAAGAAAGAGGGTTAGTATCTGTGCCCTTTGATCTCTAACAAAGACAGAATCCATTTGGGATCTAGTCCTTTCTGACTTCACAGAATCCACTTTCCATGGCTGTAGGACACCTTGCGTGGGAGAGCACGGGGTAGGGGGAAAAAATCCCCAACTTCCTCCAAGGGTGGGTTCCTGTGCACAGGAGAGGGTTCTCCTAATGGCTGGACTCTCTTGTCTGTTCCTCATATCAACACTTGGTCAAGAGAACCTGATGCTGACAAAAGAGCCAAACCATCGATCTTGTTATCCGATGCCTCAGGGAGTCAAAGATCAGCAAAAGGGAAGTGGGAGAGCTGGAGTAAGCCTGTGCGCAGTTGGAGTGCGTGCTTTGCTGGAAAATCACTAAGTTAAATAGCATTCTGTGGGGGCATCTGGGAGGCAGAGGTGAAGCAGCATCTGGCTTACACAGCCCAGCCCGCATTTACAAAGGCCCCAGAGAATGCAGTAGTAGCCCCGGGAGGCAACAGAGCAAAGGCAGTGAACAATATGGGCTTGGTACAGAATACCGCGTTTCGACTACATATTAGCTGTTTGATAGGCAAATTACCTAACTGCCAGAGGTCTGAATTATTAAGTAAGAGCTACTGTAAACCCACAGGGTAGATTACAATCACCAAGAGTACATAAAACAGTATTTAACTTCATCAGGTCTCTGTGAAGATGAAATGTAGTGTGCCAGCAGCACATAGTAAATGCTCATTAAACAAAATAACTAACGAAGCTGAAGTTGCAAACAGGCAGGCACAGCAGAAAATGGAGTCATCCTCAGGCTTGGTTTGGATAGCTGTTCTACTGGGTTTTGTTTTTCTCTGCCTCTTCAGGACTGTCTTTATACTATGGAACATTAATTCTTTTTTTTTTTAAATGTTTATTTGTTTTTGAGAGACAGAGAGCACAAGCAGGGGAGGGGCAGAGAGAGAGGGAGAGACAGAATCAGAAGCAGTCTCCAGGCTCCAAGCTGTCAACGCAGAGCCCAACGTGGGGCTCCAACCCATGAACCATGAGATCATGACTTGAGCCAAAGTCGGATACTCAAGGGACTAAGCCACCCAGGCACCCCTCGAACATTAATTCTTTAGGAAAACTATGTTGGGGCTGGAACTTAGTTTTTTGGGTAAATAAACACTTAATTTTGCATGGCTTGAAATATTATGGGCTACGACATGTTGTTGTTGTTGTTGTTGTTATTGTGGCATTGATTTTCCCAGTATTCTTACCTCAAAAGATTCTAAAGTGGAGCGCTGACAGGTGGACTCTATCTGCTCAATCATCTTGCTTAGGCTTCTTATTTGCTGGGTCAGCTTGATCTCATTGTCCCTCAACTTCTTCATGTTCTCCCTTTCCTCCTTTTCCAGTAACTGGAGCTGTAGTTGTTCCTCCTCCTTCAAAAACTGGTGCATTTTTACATATTCTGACACAACAACCTGCTTACAGGCCTTTGTCTCTTCCTGCCATCCACACACACGCATGTGTGCACACACACACGGGAGCAATATAATAAAGTTAGTGACAGAAATGCCTGTGTAGACTTTTAGTCCTAGCAAAGTCCTAGAGTTCCACTGTGACACATAATCCATATTCTATTAAGTAGTTGGGGGCTAGTGTGATATTTTAGGGGGTACATGTGCTATAGATACAGTAGCAAACAAAACCAAAATGTCTATTCCCAGGAGACTGTCATTCTACTGGGGAAAAAAATATAAACAACAATTATGATAGGTGGTGATCCATACCACAATTTAAAAAAAAAAAAGAAGCAAAATTGGGGCACCCGGGTGGCTCAGTCAGTTAAGCATCTGACTTCACATGATCTCGCCGTCTGTGAGTTCGAGCCCCATGTTGCGCTCTGTGCTGTGGTTCAGAGCCTGGAGCTTGCTTTGGATTCTGTGTCTCCCTCTGCCTCTGCCCCTCCGCCCTCACACTCTGTCTCTCAAAAAATGAAAAATGTTAAAAAAAATTTTTTTTAAAGCAAAATAAAGCAAGGGCAAAAATATGAAAAAAAAGTGTATATTCATTTATTTAACAAATATCCAATGAAAGCAGACATAGGATCACATCCTAGAGATAGAGATACACATCACAAATACTCGGCTTTGAGAACTCCGTTTATTGGGAGAATCAGATACATTTTTAAACATGTGACTCAACATTTAGGTCTTTGCAAGACAGCTCATGTTCAAATCTGTGACTAACTCAAGCTTTTGTTTAGACGTACTAAACCAAACTATTATTTGGCCTTTATTTTATCTTTTTTTTTTCACTTTCTTTTTACCCCAAAGCATTTGAGCTATTCCTTTTTATTGATTTTTGATCCTCTATTGTCTGTAACTTGTAATTTTAAATAATTATCATCAGAGCCATAATAGAGGTAGCCACCAAGTTGTATAGGTGTATCCAGAAGAAAAGAAAATAAGCAGGCCTGGGGATGGGGAAATTGTTTGAAGTGAGTCTTGGGATTTCCAGGTGGACAAGCAGAGGTACACAGCCCAAAGTAAAGGCACTGCATATTGTAGGACAGGGATTGGAAAATTTGGTCTTTTTTGCCTGGTCTTTCACTAGGTATCCCTTTAGTCTCCCTCATAGAACATATACGAGATCCAAAAGTAAGACAGATACTGACCTTGCACAGTGTTACTCTCTCCTTCTCATGGGATAATACAACCTGAGTTTCCTTTTTCTTTTTACGCAAAAGATTTAAGATTTCCTGGAGTTTCTCCTGCAATAGAAACAAATTCTCTGTGGCAAATGAGCAGAGCACCGGGTTGTGAAGAAGACTTGAGGACCAATAAAAATATGATGAGCGGGACCTAACACAAGGAGTGAAGCAGGATCCACCCCAAGTTTGGGGTCTGGTGCCTGGAGACCAGGACCCGTGATTGTCACCAATAGAGAATATTATGGGCATAAGTGATGGAACGTGGTTTGTGTTCTGAGATTTATATTGAGCAGCCAATCTTACTTTGTGACGCTCCTCAGCCTCACTGGAGGGATACAATCTGTTTATTCCGTGACACTGGGTTGAGAAAGCGTTTACACCCTGCTGCTCATCAGAAAAAGCCTTAGCGACTGCCAGCATTCTCCCAGAGCCGCCTTGTCCGCCCTCGCTCTGCAGCACCTGGGATCGGAGCTGTTTGCCGATGCCAGCCAGCCTCCCCAGACGCTCATTGGGCTGGAAGTGTGGACTCTCCAAGGCCCTCCAGCACTCAGGACAAGATAAAGGAGTACTGTGTTCCTCCCAGCTCCTCAGGAGACACACCAGACAAAAGCTGTGCCCACACTCAGTGGTCACCGGGCTGGTGAAATAGTCCAAGCAGATGAAACAGGTCAGTTCTTCCCTGAGATTCTCCATCAAATCTGCTGTAGACATTTTTACAAAGAAAGACATCAAGGCAAGGTGCTGCCTCTATTCCGGGATTAGAAAAGTCCTCCCTGAGGTTCTATTGTTTTGAGTAACAGGTGGGTGGTCAGTTTCTGTGTTGTTAATACGAAAAACTCTTACTCTCCTCTGTGCCTGATTTCACCAGTTGACACATACTCTCCCAACAAAAGGCCAATTATGACTTAATGTGGAACCCTTGTACACTGGGTTCATCATCAACCCCAGACTTTTAAGGAATGTCTCACTGTGTAAGCAACATACTGGATACGGAGGGTACTTGTTTCTAACAGACTTTCTTCAAGAGTAGGCTATTATATGTAAATAGCACCAGAAAAACAATCAAGTACCTTGATCTTAAGCTGAAAGGTTAGGTAATTTGGTGTGAGCCATTACACAGATTTAAGTTATAATGATCTCTAATAATATCCGAATTGGAAATATGGCCCATTTAGGAAGACTCCACTAATGGAATCTAGTTAAGAAACCGAAGGCAGAAAATCGTAATACCGATCCCTTCTCTTGATAGGCCCTTTTATGTGCTTGACCAAAGCCTAAAATATTTTTCTCCTTAATCAGGTACTGTGTACTTTTATTTAATCTTATTCGTCCCAACAAAATGAGAGCAAGTCCATTGAAATATTCCCTGACTTTAAACGTATAATGGATTATCAGAGTTATATTTAGTGCTCTGCCCTGCGGACCATGATACCTCTCCACCACCATTGAAGGCATGCAAAACCTCATTATTGTTGGAAGTTGCCTCAAGAGGCCATAAACGCTATGGACTGAATGGGGGCAAAAAAACTGTACTTCAGAATAAATATAATTTTATTCACTTATTTTCACTAGGTCTTCTTCAACCCCATATCAGTTCTCACTGAACAGGTATCCAATGTGCAAATAGTTTCAGACCTATGTGAAACTAAATGTCTAGTATGGAAATGGTGTCCAGTGACCATTGAGATTATTAGTGCCTTACTCTATAAATCTGTATTGCCATATGCTCATGAGGCAGCACTTGTCATGGCCCACGACCCGCTCACTGACTGACAAAAAGTGCAAACTTAGAAGCTTTTCCTTAGAATCTAACCAGTTTCTCCCTCCCGTTGAGTTCATCATACCTTATTTTTGTTCTTATCCTGTCTTGTGCCAGCGTTGGCAACTATCCATGTGTCTCTATTACCTATGCTATTTCATTAATTGCTTTCTGATTTTTGCGGTTGCCACTGATTCTTCTTCCCCACTTACCTCCAACAGATGCTGGGTGTTTTCCTATCTTGAACTTTTGTAAAAAGAAGTTTTCTGGAAGTTTCCTCCATTTTTCTTCCTCCTAGTCAACACTCATCCTTTTGAAGTTATTAATCCAAATGTTTTCATTGTATGTCCTTTGTGTAACATGTGTGAATTACTGAAATGAGAATTTACAAAAACATACAACAACAACAACAGCAAGTAACACAGCAAGTTATAATAATTTATTTATTTTTTTTTCAACGTTTATTTATTTTTGGGACAGAGAGAGACAGAGCATGAACGGGGGAGGGGCAGAGAGAGAGGGAGACACAGAATCGGAAACAGGTTCCAGGCTCTGAGCCATCAGCCCGGAGCCCGACGCGGGGCTCGAACTCACGGACCGCGAGATCGTGACCTGGCTGAAGTCGGATGCTTAACCGACTGCGCCACCCAGGCGCCCCAGTTATAATAATTTAAATAGAAAGAGAGGAAGCATCAATTTGGGGTCACGAAACTTCTCTCTACTACTTAAGATTACTTCTAGCCTAGTAACTGAGGTACAGCTTCACAGTATTTTTTAGGAGTTAGTCTTAAGTAAGGGTCTTGCAAAAAATAAAATCTATAATAACATTAACTGCCTTTGCTGGAAAAAGGATTTATGAACTACCACCTACATTCAGTGTGTTATTCCCACACAAACCCAGAAGGAGTCTTTAACATTGACCAGGACCATTAGAATAAGCCTTTCAGTAGATATATGGTACATCACAGATACTGTATTCCAATTTGGAATGGGGAAACCGACATGTTCTAAGTTAAAGTCACACTGATCTGTTCCATCCCACGTCCCTCTTCTAAGCAAACTCCTTTAATAAACTCCTTAATACAATAACCATATCTTATTCATCAGTGACTAGAAGAATTATTTGCATATAGCAAGGGCTCAACTTATTCGTAAGTTGTAAATGAAAAAACAGAGGAACTATATTGTTATACAACCACAGTCTTTTATCTCGCTGGAAACCAAGTAATTATGTAGTCCAACTACCATGTATAGATGGTGAAGAAAATTGAGACAAATAAATTGAGTTGATCCCCTGACTACTTGCTTACTACATGAGTCAGGTTGGGACTGGGAAACCGGGCCTCTGTTGTTCATACACTACACTGCATCTCACTTGTTGACTTGTGAGTGGATGAAATTTTCCAGTTATCTCAATACAGTGAGTATTGCTAGAATATTTCAGAAGGAAATTGGACAGCTGTTATTATGGTGTGATGTTGTGACAGGTATCTGAAATCACTGGCCACACTCATTATTGGGGATGCAGACTTCTTTACCATCGCTCACAACACATTTGACTGAGCTTAGTTCATAGATGAAGAAATTCAGAGATAACTCGTAGACAAAGAGTGGGCCAGCCACCCCAAAATACATTACACCTACCCTTGGGGCACTGCACTGTCAGACATGATTTCTGAGATCAACAGCTCAAATAGCTTCTTCTCTGACCTGTCTCCTGCTGTGGAGGTGACAGTAGGGATACACCCTAAGGTCTCCACAGTCACAACTGTCATCCACATGCTATTAGGGTTGGAGCACACAGAAAAAGAGAAAGTTTAAAGATGTGGTTAGAGCTTACTTATTGATGAAGGCAGTGGACTAGATGGGGACTTATTGGAAAAACATACTACTTGAAAGCCTGATTTTAGAAATATGTCTGTCATTTCATATCAGTGTGGAAAAGATAGATTACTCAACAACTGGTTTGGGACAAGTGAGGGTAGCCATCTGGGAAAAAAAGAAGAAAAAGACAAAGTTGGATCTCTACCTAGTAAGTTATACCAATGTGTGTTCCAGATGTATGTATGTGTGTGTGTGTGTATGTGTGTGTATTTTCCCCACTCTGGTCGTGAATTTATACTCCTATTATTTCCCTTTGTATTGCTTTTTTTACTTCATTTATTTATATTATTTTATTTTTGAATGTGTTTGTGTTCTAGATCACCCCACATCTATTTAGCAAGTAAGGAGCATATTTGTTAAATATGTGGTCAATTATTGTGTCCAAAAAAATGAAGCACATCATAAAAGGAAATAATTGGTAACATAGAAATTTAAAATAGACTACTTAGAAAAGGCTTTTTAAAGCATGCTTCAGAGCTTAGACACCCCTAAAAGAAAAGATTAATAAATTTAAATAAAAAGTAAATACTTTTATACAGCAAAGTAAATAAAATAACTTTTATTTCAAGTTTTTATTTAAATTCTAGTTTATAGGGGCGCCTGGGTGGACCAGTCGGTTAAGCGTCCGACTTCAGCCAGGTCACGATCTCGCGGTCCGTGAGTTCGAGCCCCGCGTCAGGCTCTGGGCTGATGGCTCGGAGCCTGAAGCCTGTTTCCGATTCTGTGTCTCCCTCTCTCTCTGCCCCTCCCCCGTTCATGCTCTGTCTCTCTCTGTCCCAAAAATAAATAAAAAACGTTGAAAAAAAAATTAAAAAAAAAAATTAAAAAAAAAATAAATTCCAGTTTATTAATATATATGGTAAAATTGGTTTCAGGTTAAAATAATTTTTTTAATGACAATCTGGGAAAGAGAATTTGGAACACATGCATCAAATACCTAATATAAATTACAAAGAGGACTTACATAAATATATACTTAAAAATAATAGCTCTTCAGGGTGCCAGGGTGGCTTAGCCGGTTAAGTATCTGATTTTGGCTCAGGGCATAATCTCAAGGTTCATGGGTTCAAGCCCCATGTCAGGCTCTGTGCTGACAGTTCAGAGCCTGGAGCCTGTTTAGGATTCTATGTCTCCCTCTCTCTCTGCCCCTCACCAGCTCATGCTCTGTCTCTCTTAAAAATAAACATTAAAATAGGGGGCGCCTGGGTGGCTCAGTCAGTTAAGCATCCAACTTTTGGTTTTGGCTTAGGTCAATCTCACAGTTCCTGGGATCTAGCCTCACATTGGGCTCTGTACTGACAGTGCAGAGCCTGCTTGGAATTCTCTCTCTCTCTCTCTCTCTCTCTGCCCCTCCCCTGCTGACCCTGTCTGTGTCTCTCTCAAAATAAATAAAAGAGCTTAAAAATTTTTTTGAATAATAGCTCTTCCAAAAAAATAATCACTCTTCTTAATACTATATAACCATTTTAAAAATAACAGATCAATATATACACACTGACATGATATGATATCCATTATATGATATTAAGGGAAAATACATTTCTGCTCCCACAAATAATTTAAGTATAATAATAAAAATTGGGTTCTAAGTGTATTTTTTTCCTATAAAAATAAGGTCATGCTGTAAGATGTTGGTAATGTATGTGTGTACATGAAGGCATAGAGAGAGTATGGAATTTCATGGATATGACACCAAAAGCATGGGCCACAAGAGCAACAGTAGATAAATGGGACTACATCAAACTAAAAAGCTTCCACACTACATAGGAAACAACAGAGTGAAAAGGCAACCATTGGAATAGGAGAAAATATTTACAAACCATGTATCAGAATGGGTTAATTTCCAGAATGCATAAGGAAGTCTTATAAATCAATAGCAAAAAAACAAAAACAAAAAACAAAACCGAATTGCCCAATAAAAAATAAAGACTTGAATAGACATTTCCCTAAAAAAGATACACAAAAGAACTGCAGGTGTATGGAAAGATGCTCAATGTCACTCATCATCAGGGAAGCATAAATCAAAACCACAATGACATATCACATCACACCTGTCAGGATGGCCACTATATATAAAGAAAAAAAAAAGGCAAGTGTTGGTAAGAATGTGGAAAAATTGATACTATTGTACACTGTTGGTGGGAACACAAAATGGTAAGGCTTCCATGGAAAATAATATGG